AAGAGAAAATCCTGAAAAAAACCCTGATTCTCCTTTTCGTGACTGGGGCGTTAGGTTTCAACTAATGTAACATACATGAAAACGAGGCTCTATTGCGAAAGTGACGCACTTTCTGGAAGGGTGTATTCCACTTTGTAATCTGTTACCCTTGTAAAATAGTATTGTAAAACCAATTGTAAATCGTTACTTACTTTATCCTTCAATATTATCAATATTTTATATTAATTGTTATCTTGGAAAACTAGGGAATGGGATCTTCATCTAACAGCCTTAAATGGTTTCAAACATATTCCTATAGCCCAGTTTTGAGTTCATCATTACTTTTTTGTAAATAACTACAATATACCAACATACATAGTAACAACTGTCAAAAAAAGACGGAGCAGTGATTTTAAGTAACACATTTTTTTAGCCTTGGGTTTCGCCATTTAATATGCACTTCGTGCACAAAATATCCTTAAATTCTTCCTAATCACAAAAACTATTTTCCCAGGAATCTAAATAATTGGTTTTGTGATACCTATAGAAAACAGGGTTGTCAGATTGCTGAATAAATAAGCCAAACATTATTGCAAGCGGCCCTTTGATTTCTTTGTTTCCAGCAAAGAAAACACAAAAGGTTATTATATAATAATGGTCAATAATATTTGGCTTATTTACTCAGCAATCTGGCAACCCGGCTTGAAAACTGTCCAGAACTCCATACCGTAATTCTAGAGGTCTACAAGCGCTGAACACGGTTGAATATAATACGTATAATTTATCAGTAACAGCAAGCGAGGGCTACGTGAGAATTATATCTAAGACAACCTAGTACTCGTTCCAAATATCAGTCAGGAATGTTTGGAATGTAACACATAACATTCCAGCACTTAAACAGCAATTTACTCTAGCTTTGATGTGAAACTATTTATTGTCCCACTTCACTCTCCTCCGCAAAGGCGTATAATGTGAAGGTTAACGCTTGTCAGCTGGCCTTTGTACCTCAGTGGACTTGCATCGGAATCGCAGGGCCGCACGTTCCATTCCTGCAAGAGGAATCGTCAGAGGCCACAGTAGTTTTTCGTTTTACCTCAAAAAACCCACAACAGTCTGTTTCATCCGTATAGGAATCATCAGGTGGTCTTATACGGATGAAACAGACTGTTGTGGTTTTTTTGAGGTAAAACGAAAAACTATATTACGCTCTATCTATATGGTATTGAGCACTGTTTGTGTTTCGTAAACCAAAAACTTAAGCTATATATATGTTGTGTTATATACCGCATGCCTTGTGCTGTACCGCATGCCTTGGTGAGAGCAAGTGTATGTGATATAAATACGAGTGTCTCACGTATATAGACGTGTACCAAGCTGCACTGACGAGGCGTAATATATATATATATATATATATATATATATATATATATATATATATATATATATATATATATATATATATATATATATATATATATATATATATATATATTAACAACGTGGAAGTAAGATGACACATGACAGGATGTTAAACTGTTAACATGCCAAAGAATCAAGTGCCACTCGTTGAGGCGATATATATATATATATATATATATATATATATATATATATATATATATATATATATATATATATATATATATATATATATATATATATATTTTCTTCTTATGTGATTGCATCATCAACGCCTCAACGAGTGGCACTTGATTCTTGGCATGTTAACAGTTTAACATCCTGTCATGTGTCATCTTACTTCCTCGTTGCTGAATGGCGGTTTTATTCATCTCTGCGGAGGAGGCATATATGACACAGATACAGTTTAGTTTCAACAAGTTTGTAATTGCTCATATAGTTAAAACAATTGGTACAAACTTCCGCATGTCAATCACTACGAAGGGGTATCAAACCTAAATTTTACTAAAATATAACGAAAAATTCATTTTACTATAATTATAATATTCTTTTCAATTGCGTTGTGAATCTCCTGTTCTACCGTTTGTTAGTGCCTTTCAGTCGCGGACACTATGGGGGGGGGGGGGGGGGGGGGGGGGGGGGGGGGGGGGGCAGGGACAACCGCCCGCGCTCCCCCCTCCCAAGTATTAATTTGTGAAAGTCTTTAAATGATTGCCGAAGTCTGAAAGTCTTTACTTGAAAGCTTTCTGAAAGTCTTTAAGATTTCTGAAAGTCTTTAATTGAAAGCTAAAAGTGGAGCTATATCTTGCATGAAATATAAGGCAAAGCAGTTTAAAGATCTAACTGTTCCAGCAACAATTCACCCTTACAAATAACAAAATTTAATACTATTACCAGAATTTTATTGGGGTATGAAATATAAATTTTGTATTAAAATATTCGGTTTGGTTCAACAATTTGTAATGGCATTCTTCCGTTTGTCCAATCAATTTACCAACTTTGACTGATGTCATTCTTGACTATGGCAAATATTTGTTTTGTTCAGTCAATATAAATATTGGCCTTGTTACTTATGTTTGATCAATATGGCAATATCACCCCAAGAATTCGATTATACAGTGTACATAGTTATACTGACTATGTACAGCACATACATGAGCACTTAAAATATTGACGTTTCGGTTCCTTTGAAAAAGTACGCCAATATCTCCTTACACACTCTACTTTAGGCTACACACATTAAGTTGCATTGCACCCTAATTCACACTATGGCGGTATGACCTACTCTATTATTTTACTCTGTTCAACACCAGTGTAACATTTACATATTCGACTTTAACCAGGAGCAGTTGCAAAAAATTCAACTATAGCAACTGTCAGCTGTTGTGATTTGTGTCTCAACTACCTTTTGCTCTCAGATATAACCTCATTTGCTCAGAAACAAACCATGATAGCTTACTGCAGAAAACCTGGGGTTCCTATGTATCACTTTACAAACCTGCACGCAAACGTATTATAGCAATGTCATTCAACTTGCCTTGGCATTGCATGTCTTTAGACTGCTGTATCTATAAATATGTTTACTGTATATGCTGTATTGCTGTGTAACACCCAAGCATCACGTTTTAAAATCTTTTTAACCCATTGAGTGGCAGCACTCTCCGTCTGACGAGTAAAATCGTCTGGCATTAGACAGAGCAAAATAATTAAGTAGGGCGCATCTGGATACATTGCCACATAAAGAGTTAACAGGGTGCATAGGCAGATAGTCTGATTAACCCATTGAGTGGCAGGGTGCATTGTCACTTAAAGGGTTCATTAAAATCCGGAAATATTTTAACAATATCTAGCTCTCAAAATCTAAAATAGGACACATTTTTGCAGGCATATTCTGAAGTCATGAATATTGCTTTCAAACACTTTATAATATTAATTAAGAGCCCTGTGTATCACCTTTGGCAACAAAATGTCAAAATCCTTTTTGCTGTGCATTGTGAGACATATAAAGCTTGGGTGGGTTACCGAAAGGACAGTAATTGTTTATCAAATACTAGGTAATATTCAGAATAAACAACTTTGCTGAACATTTACATAATACTTATAGATGGATTTTCAGATTCTGTGCCAGGGGGCTACCGAAAATTCAGGGTGTGTGGCAGGGATCGGTATCAAGTCTGGAAATAATTTTTGGGGACCTGCCTGTCAAAATGACCCGCACCAATGAATTTGTGCCTGTCATGAAACAAAACGTACCGGTCATTGTACTGGACTGCCAAAAACATAGGATACAAAATATGCAATGGTTAAAATCATTAAATACATAGAGATTACTGCATGATTGGTGAGCGTGTACGATTTTTAATTTTTAATTTGTGAAAGATTGCAAATGAACGAGTGAGCGAAGCGAACAAGTGAGTTTAGCAATCTTTCACAACAAGTGCATAATGAAAATTGTACAAACGAACCAACCACCCAACCAAGGCAGTTATTTTCTTCGACACGACACATTAAGTTTTTTCGCGGTTCAACAAAAAATTCCCGCAAAACTCTTCCAAACTCGCAAATGACATTTTCACTTGGAAGGAAGTTTGATCATCATTCATCACGAGGCGAATAAGAATGAATTTTTATCATAGTGGAAAAACTGCACAAACATGGCGTCGTGTTTATAAAGCATTATGTATTTAATAAACCGGATAATTTTAAACTTTATAGCACAAATAATAGAGAATTTGTCGACAGAAAGGTTATTTTAGTCTAGTTTATAAACCACTGAAATGAGCACCAAACAAAGTGACAGACACAATCAAATTTGTGCCTGTCAAAACACTACAAATCACATATTTGTGCCGGTCAATGACCGTGACCGGACGCTTATTTCCAGGCTTGCTACCTACAGTACACTGGCAAAAGACAGTTCAAATAAAAAATCTGCAATACACCCTTCTGGACAATGTTCAGTCTTGGCCATAGAGACTTTGTGTGTTTGAGATATTGGGTATAAATTAAAAAGCTTTTTACCTTGTTACATCCAATTTCCTCCGTGGGGGAGGTATGGATGTTTTCTGGAATGACCCATTTACAAAACCATACAGTTCTTTCAGTGAATATAAAAACCTGTTTATAATTTTGTAATCAGTCACCAGATAAAGGTCACTAAAGCCGATATCGAAAACGTGGAAACAAGGCTGTATAGCCATGACTGGTGATTGACCAATAATCGGTATCTGCATAGGGCCGATTTATGCCTTATCCGTAGACAATCGGAATCAGTAGAATTTTCTATATTTCCGATTGTTATAAAATTATATGCATTGCATGTTGATACATGTTGCATTTTAGCAGAGGCATGAATAATCAGCAATTTCTGATTGTTGCACAATCCTAACCATGGCTAAGTACTTTCCGGAAGGCTGTATTGGGGACCGGTCAAATGAGGTATCGATTTGTCCATGATATGCTGGGGAGAGGGTCAAAGCATTCATAGACCCACAGGAAGCATAGATTGTGCTTACACCCACCTAAATTATCCACTTCAGTCGTTGGTAAATCGTCAAAATGAAATCTATTTGTTGACACCCCTAAAATATTTACAGTCATACCTTGCAATTTCTGGCGTGGAACTTGATGTTGACTTTCTCACACTTTGAACAGACGTCTCATAACTTGGAGGAGATGATCTGACATTCTCATTGCCAATATTATCAACATGACGTAGGGAAAACCCTGAACCATCAGGGTTGGTCATTCGTCGAGACGGAACACCGAGAATCTTGGAGCTTGAAGGAAACGAATGAGATCCCCTGGGTGTCACGATGGGTACCGGTATAGCTTTTGGTCTGCTCTGAATTTGAGGGTTACGCATTCCCGAGGGGTACGGTACAGAACTGGTATGCACACCCCTAATTGACATGCCCATCTGAGATGTAATCACGTTCGGATAAACTTTAGACGATGGTTTCGGGTTAATTCCGGTAGCAGCATGAAGCCCGGGCCGATTATTGAAGGTATTAAGTGAATGAAGTGGATTCACATTCATCGTGGAATGGCTGCCATTATGATGGGGCGGTGCATTTGGGTTGCGACTCATGTTCGCTCCAGATAAGTTGGACCTTTGGCTGGAAGGCGTCATTACAGACCCTGCTTTCGAGATGGCGTTGCAGAGTTTAACCGCCTCGGTTACATACTTCAAATCGCTATGGGCTACCGGCGTGACACGGTATTTCAAGCTTAGCAAGTTTTGTATTCTAGACCCAAGCTGTCTCTGTGTTGTCAGCAATGATGCATCACTCCCCTGGTATACAGCATGCTTTGTGAAATCGTAGTTGTGTTTCAAAATATCCTGCATTAGGTTCAAATCCTTCGACTGTTTTGTCAACAGCTTTCGTTTAAAATGCACCAAAGCCTGTAGCTCGTTGAGTAACACATGTTCGCGTTGTTTCACTGCCTTGATTATATCATTCGAGGAATTTTTAATCTCGTTTGCAATCACATCAGATTTGTGGTCTAAATGAGTCGACGAATTCTGAACGGCCTCAATGGACTCCGCTAGTGGGCCTATTTTCTCTTCCAAACTCTTGAGACGTTTTTTAAAGAATTCCCTGTACCTCCCCGCCGCTTCGTTGACAAACTGATACTGATGCTCTTTGTGCTCAAGTAATTGGCAATCTCTACAAGTCAATCGCTCGCATTTTACACAAAATAGTTTCAGCTTTTCGCTCGGATGTTTTTGACAATACAACGAGCGCTCGTTTCGTCCATGACTTTTAACACTAGCCCTTAAATCATCGCCCGACTTGATTTCATGGTCTTTAGTGACTCGTACTCGTTGGTGAGCTTGTACACAAGCGCTACAAAGCCATTCAGAGCAATTAAGACAGTAAGAACTCGCTGTACTGTTGTCTTCACACGATGTACACACATGATTTTCCGATTCTCTCTCGCCAGATGGTTTCGCGACAATTTCGAGGATAAATTGGTTATCGATTAAACTCGAAACTCCCCGGCTTGGCACAAGGAATTCTTGACCACAGTTCGGGCATTTTAATCTCGATGTCGAAGTCCGAGATGTTAAGGCTGTAGTCGAGGGTTGATCATCAGCTCGGAGTCGATCTTCCAAGCACGCTTGGCAAAACGAATGCAAACATGGCAGTAATTTTGGCACGACTTTATCAAAGCTAGTTTTGCAAATTGAACAACATTTCGGTAGACTAGCATCTTCATTATCATCTACAGAACTTATATCACCATCAATTTCGACAGTATCCACGCTCATTTTCGCGCTGTTTCGACTTTCAACACGCTTGACACAAGAATGCAAAAGACGCCGTTCCAAAATGGCGCCTTGCTTCCCGAGCGGGCTATCACACCCGCAAATTGCCAAAATGTAAAATCTATCGAATATATTGATCTCTGTTTTGGCGTACAAAATTATCAAATCAATTTGAAAACTTAATAAACCGTTTGAAATTCTGACTTAAATCAAATCTGTGCTGTAAAATATTTTTTATATTTCTTCCTGAGATAAGCCGGTTCAAAGTTAGATCATATATGACGAGCTTCAGCAAGTATTTGAATCACGTCAAGACATAAGCTACAAAGGCGAATACAATGTGGCACCTGTCAAATTTATGTTTATCTTTTAATTAACGGGCCGGGAAATCATTTAAATCCCCACGGCAAGCGAGGGGGAAAGGTGATGCAAAAGTAGGGGGGACTTTGACGAAGGGATGGGGGGGGAGGAGCGCCCTCCTTCCTTTTCCCAGGGGGGCAAAGAGGTGGGGGGAAGAGTGCCCTTTCAATATTAATGAAACATAAATTATTATCTTGACTACACTTGTAAGTATGACGCAATTAGGTGAGAAAATATTAGGGGTGGGCGGGGGGGGGAGGGGCGGGAGAAAGAATTTTGCCCGACTTTTTGGCATTTTGTCCGACTTCCGTGTAAATTAAAATTCCCAAAATTCTTGTCGACAGGGGGTGCTGTTTTGAAAATTTATGGAAATTTTTATATATTTCTTGCATATTCGACTATTATTTTTTAATATTTCTTACATATTTCTTGCTTTTAAATTTCTTTCATCTTAGTTTGCCCAACTTTACAACCTACGTTAGTAGTATAGGGAATGAGGGTTCTAGACCACTAACCGACTTGTGCTCTAGCATCACTTTTTTAATTCAGCCATAAATCACCTGGATATCTCCCAGATTCTCAGCAAATGTTCTAGACCATTCGTCAAGATTCCCGGCTCCCTCATCTTCAACGTTGAAGATTGTCGATCAACTTTTATTCAATCTATAAATTTATATCTAACGATTTACCTAATATCCAATTACATTCAGCTTATCACTTCCTGGTATTCTTATAACTTGAACACCAAGTGACTTTGCTTTCTCGCCCATTACCACTCTTAAGAATCCTTTATCTTCTTTTGGTAGAATGTCGTAGTTTTTCCTTAGATGATTTTCATCAGTTACGACTAACCTTAGTGGTAATTGTTTCTTGAACTTGAACCTCTTCAGTGGAATCACTACTTTGTATTCTGGTCTGGGAATACGTTTTTCTTGCTTTTCCCGTGGAGGTCCTTCGTGAAGTTCCAGTGCTCTTTCAAGCCTGTAGTTTTCACTTTCAAGTTCAGCCCTTACTGTTACCCAGCTCGGTTCTATTTTTTCTTCAATCAGTACCTCAGCCTCTAGATCTTCTATTAAGTGGTGTCCGTACGCGTAACTTGTAACACCATCTTCAAGTAAGTACCGCTTATCATCGAAACAGCTGAGTGTGATTTTCTTTAGTTCGTAAGTTCCGATTTTATGTTTGATGCTCCGGATAGTATTCATCTTATGTCTCATTCGACCTCTTGTTTTAATTACGTTCTTAAAGTTTTCGTGAGTGAGTTTATTTCTAATCACGTACTTTTTCACTCCTTTTGCGGTCATTCCACCTCCACCACTCTCCTTTACGTAGGAGTACATCTTTGACCTTAGCCCCACAAACTCAACCACTGGTACTCCTTCAGCTTCATCCTTAAACTTACCAATCACCTTCTTGTTATGAGCCGAGTAGTACGGAGAATCTTTCGGGTAATCTGAGTTGTCCCAGCAGTCTTTCTCCTCACCGATTCTCTTGAAGTCCTCATACACGTCGTCAGTCTTTATTTCATACATCAAACTGTCAGTATCCGTGAATAGTAGCTTTGACCTGTCACCGTACTCCTTCTTAATTGTATTGTAATGGAAGTCGTACATAAGAGTCTTTGATAAGTCCAAGATGCTCATTCCAACGTAGCACGGTTTGTTTAGAGTTAGAACTTCCTTCGTTCGCTTTACAACTATTAAGTTCTCATTCATAATTCTATGCGACTGGAAGCACGGCGACGCTGTAAGTTTTAAGAGGTCATTTTCCGACGACACTAATTTCACATCAACTCTCTTCCTCAGATTCTCCATAGTTTTTCCATAGACTGAGTTGTTCATTAATTTAAAGAAGTTCTTCTCAAACGCATTTTTAGCAACTGACCGTTTCTTCGTATTGAAGTCGATATAGTTCTTAAGCCAGGGGGACTGTTTGAATGAGACGGCTCTATGGACCTTCGTAAGTTTCATTCCGAGTTCTATGTAGAGTTTTAGATTGCGGGCGTGTAGGACGTAGTTCTTCCTTGGACCCAGGGAGTTCACCAGTTTTCTTACTCCTCCAATTGTCAGCTGGAATTTGTCAGCAATATCCTTCGCGTAATCTGACAACATCGAGGCATCAATCTCCTTGCTCTCCGGTGCTAGCGGGTAACCGTTGTGCAGATTGTGAAGTTCCTTTGGATATTCCATGTCAACCTCTAGAACCATACCCCTTCCGTTGTCTCCAAGGTAATCATCTAAGTTTGCCACATCGAAATTCTCGATCCACTCAAACTCGCCATTAGGCAGCGGCTGCGACATCGCCCAGCCATATAAATTGTTGGCATCGAGGTACATAAGGAACTTGTTTTCAGCCTCTTCATCGTACGTTTCCATGTACTTGTTATTTGCCGTAGAGTGTCTGTGGGCAATGTGACTTATGCCACCTCTCATTCCCTTCTCAAAGAACTGGAACATGTCCATATCGCTTACCAATTCTATCTCCTCACCTGACTGTTTTAGGAAGGCATCCCAACTTAGACTAGGTGCTGATATGTAGTGTGCAGGGTCAAGCTTGTAATTTTCCAGGCAAGTTTTCCTGAAGTTTTCGAAAACATCTGCTAGAAGAAGAACGTCAGTTTCCAGGTAGAGATCGTGGTAGTCTCTCATGGTTTTCATCTTAAAGTGATCCCATACTTTTAGCGCTCTTTGGTAATCTTCTTCTTTCACCTCAGACTCGTATAGAGATGAGTAGAATTTGTCTCTGCTTGGAAGACCCTCAACATTAAGCTTACTAATGTCATCCAAATATTCATATGGAAATATACCTTTTTGTGTTACAAGTTTGAAGTCCTCACCAGTCCACCTCTTACCAACTATCCTGAAGTCTTCAGGTGAAAGGTTACTCACAAGTGCTTCTAGAGAAGAAGCCATGAACTGTATGGAGTCAATGAAGACAAGACTTTTACCCAGTGAGAAGGAAATATATTTTTCCATATTATTTGGGACAACATTGATGTTTATCTTGAACTTTCCAATTTCCTGCATTATCAGATGGCTATCGTAACCTCTTAGATTGTGGAAGACCACAGGAACTTTCCATGTAATTCTATATTTTAAGTTGCACATATTATGGGCAGCTCCACGGAACAGTCCAGTTACATGATCGTGGTCTCTCACTCTGTCATCTCCAAGGTCATTACCACATATGGAGCAATTTCTTGTCATCCAGAACTCAGCTTCTTGCTCTGGTGTGATTACCATCTTCTTCTTGAATATTTTGTTTACCATTTCCCGGCACTTAATAGACTCCTTCAATACAGTCTTCAGAAAGACATTTGTGGCGTCCTCACCAACGTAGCTTATGTATTCACCAGAGTACTGATCATCATAATGACACACTGTTTTCAACCCAAAACTACAGGCTTTGTGTGTTTGGTAAAGGTCTGTAGTACTCTTTTCCTCAGGGCTTTCAGGATCAGCCTTTCTCTCTTCAGGAACCAGTATGGACTCAAAGTCAGCGTATATTACAAATGGTGCGGGCATTGAGTTCCTGTGATTTTTGAACTTTATTTTTGTACCCTCACTTGGAAGCTTTGTGGCTTGAGTTCCATTTACCTGTAGACATGTTTCCTTATGTTTCTCCAGTGACTCCTCACTTACGCAACTATGAAGGCAATGCAGGCAGAAGTGTTTCTTGTTTGAGTTTCCACTTACACTGAAGAGCATTCTGTTTACATCCTTTATCAAGACATAGTGATTGTTTCCATTACCATCACCCAAGAGTAGCAGCTCCATATGCTCGTCATATTTTGTTTTGGAGTTTCTTATTGGGTAGAACTGCTTTTTGCCCTTATAGCCGAACACTGATATACTCATACAGTTTCTTCTCTCAATTTTGTCAATGTCGCTTATCTTCACAGGGAAGTCTATTCCCTCGTAGTCCAGGTTTTTCGAGAACTCAACATCCTGCTGTGTTATAGTAGTTGCTCTTCTAGGTCTGGGTCTCATATGCCTTACATGACTCCACATGAAACATTTCTCATCTTCATTTTTCATATTAATCAGACCACATTTTGGATTGCTAATGTCTGCGGGTAATTTCATATATGAACTACCCTTTAGAGGTTTATACATTGCAATATTAACGTAGTGGCTTTCAATATTTAGTATAATCCAGTTTGAACCTAAGTTCTGAAAGGTCTCAATTCTGGATAAGATTGTCAGTTGATTTTGAGCTGCAGTGCTTTCGATATCCTCAAAGTTGGTAGCAGTTCCAGTTTTTGACTTGAAGTATATTGAATCCTTCTTTGTTTTGTCATTACCAATTTCCTTAGACATTCTCACCTTAATAGTTTCCGTATATTTCAACCCTCCCATTCTCTTCAGCTCATTCACTAGTATTCCTCTCACAACCTGCCTACTTGCTGTCATCTGATCCAGTGGGTCCATGAAGTTTGGGGTTATAGAATAAGTCACAGCTGCACCATTTGCGGCAGTTTCTATTTTCCTATAGGATGGCTTCTCAAGGTATGTTCCAAATGGATCAATTTCGTGTTCCCCTGGTGTGACCACTACAGGCTGTTCTCCAACTTCCTTGGTTACCTTGACAGGCTTTCTTAGCTTTGGAGGAGGCACTGGTTTTTTGGTCCTTGGCTTGGGAATAGGTCTTTCCCTAGGAATTACAGTTCTAGGTTTAGGAATAGGTTTTTCCCTAGGGATCACAGTTCTAGGTTTGGGAACTGGTCTCTCTCTAGGTTTCCATGGGGTCACACCTTTTGGCACCTCAGGAGCTTTCCTTGTAGGTTTTCTGCTGAGATCCACTGTCACCGTGAACTTATTTGGTCCCACCTGTGTTATGACACTATCCGTAGGAACCGAGAGTTTTATCTGACCCTGGCTTATGAACCTTTCCGCGACAGTCTGTCTTCTAACCTTAGGTTTCGGTGTAGCCTTCGGTGGTCTACCTCTCCTCTTAGGAACCGTAACTTCTTGAGTTTCAACCACCTTAGCCTTTGGTGGTCTACCTCTCCTTTTGGCAACCTTAACTTCTTTGGTTTCGGCTACCGCGGTCTTTGGTGGTCTACCCCTTCTTTTGGGGGTTACTTCACCATCAACCTTGACCTTTGGTGGTCTACCTCTGGGACGCTTGGGATTCCTGAGGTTTTTAAGCCTCTTCATCTCAGCGTTTACCTGAGGATCGTCTGTTCTCCATCTACCTCCCATTGTTGGTGGTAGACCTTCAACTCCTCTACTTAGTAAGCTCTGATATGCCTCCTCGACTAGTAAAGCCTTTGCCTTCTGTCTCTCGGAATATTTCCATGTTGGCATTATTCCTCTCTTACCCTTGTAGTTCAGTGGGAGTCTTCTTGGCCTCTTAGGATCCGCAGCTCTATCACCTTCATCGATGAATAGTTTCTCTTCCGCGAGGACGTTCTCTCCCTTGTCCTTAGGTGCAACACGGTAGAATTTATCCTCCGAGATTTTCTCTACTTCATCCTCAAGATTTCCTTCATAGTCGCTGTCATCGATTATCTCACTAAGTGCCATAAGTTGTTCAACGGTCATGTCGTTCATGTCAAAGTTGTTCGCCATTTTTCACTCTTTCTCTATATACTATAGGTAAAAAAAAATAGCCCCAATTAAGGGGCTATTTAATTCATTAATTTATTTAACATTTAATTTAATATTTTAATATTTTATTTAATTTAATAATTTAATATTTTATTTAATTTAATAATTTAATATTTTATTTAATTTAATAATTTAATATTTGATGTAATTTAATAATTTAATATTTTATGCAATTTAATAATTTAATATTTTATTTATTCTTTAATTTCCAGTTATCATAATATTCACAACCTATAGGTTTCCATCCCAACTCGGGGAAGACTTTACCATATAACCTATCCTCAAGGATTTTCACAATTCTTTTTGTCCTGATGTCCTCAGGTGGATTTCTTAGCGTGATGTTGTTCATGCTGGCTATCCTTAGAAGGTAAAACTTATATCTAACTATGTTGCGCCCCCGCTGCAGTCTAAGCCTTTGTATACATCTTACGATGCTTCTGAACTGCTCCCTTATTATGTCCCTATCCCTAGAAGCAACATGTTCGAGTAAATGTCTTTCAAACCAACGAACCCTATTATGGCAAGACTTCTTTTTGAGATAGTCGTCCTTGTTGTGGTTGTAACTAACGTAGTATGTGAAGTTGTTCATATCACTTGTGCCACACTCTGTGCATACATCTGCTCCATCTATTGTTACAATGGACTTGCTACAACATTCACTACATATAGGATCATATGTATGTGCAACCTTCATTTTACCTCTCACGTATTTCATTACTGCGGCCTCCAGCTCCTCAATGTTTTTTGCTCTCCTACCGACTCTTTCCATTTCATCAGGTGTTACCAGTGTCAGCCAATCCATTCCCTATACTATATGTGTTAAAATATTCTGCTTGTTTTTGTTGTCTGTTTTTACGTCTCCTTATTATTCTCCATTCTACATATTTTTTAACCGCGGCCTCCAACTCCTCTATAGTGTCTACCCTTTTACCAAGAGCTATTACCTCGTCAACGTCTACCATTGCAAGCCAGTCCATTTCTCTACAATATATGTGTAAAAATTTATTGCCGTATTAAATTAATATTTTATAGTAATAAATAAGCTGCCCCTCCGACCACCCCACCTGTAATTAAACCAAAGATTGCCATATATTCTTCCATCTCTTGGCTAGGCTTGTAGTGATTGCTCAACTGCGGCTTTCTTGGTATAGCTTTGCGTGTTAGCTCATTTATTCTTCTAACGAGTTCCAGCGACTTATTCGTTGAATTAATATCCTTATTTGCCTCGGCTAGTTCCGACTTTAGTTCAGCAATCCTATTTCTTCTATCAGTGACTTCTTCAAGGTACTTCTCTCTTTCTGCTGTTAGATTCTCCATCGCAATGTTGTATCTATGGGCTTCCTTAGCATATCCATTCTTATCAAACATCTTAAATAAGTATCCTGCTCCCGCGAATGCAAATGCGTTAAAGAGTCCTCCTGCTACTGCTCCTGCCATTGTATAGTCTTACCTAGGTTTTGAATGGATCATCTGGTAGATACTTCTTATCTTTCAGGTAAGAGACCAGTAGGGATGAAAGGCTTACTGAGACAGCTAGCTTCGCCATTCCTTTTACATTCTCCGGGGTTCCTAGTGGTTCTTTTAATAGTTTCTTCGATCAGGGGCGGATCTAGGGGTAGTCAGATTAGTCACGCGACTAACGTAAAAAAAAGGCATATAAAAAAATTTGGACTAAGGTTTTTGATTTTTTTCCCAGCGCAAACGCTTCTCTTCATTTCTGATCATGCAATCAAAACTACATCACACTCCAGCATATAAACTTCGATCAGTTTTTGCACATTGAGCCAGCGATTGATTAATCAAATGATAAGTCAAATAAGCGGTATTGAAATGAAAATTGACTATTCTGCATTTTAGTTCATGTGATTTGATTGGTCAAATTTGCTCAGATTACACATTACAGGCATGTTGATTGGTCAGACATATTTTGACTAACGATTGCGCAATTTTGACTATTTTGACTAATCCTGCAAATAGATAGCAGCTTCTGATTGGCCAATTTGAGCAAAAGAGTTAAAGAACATCTCCTCTGATTGGCCTTCTAATCTTCAATTTGGAAGCATTGTGCACTTGGTATCTCTGTTGCAGCTCTGTACATTTTACAAGCAAATTATTTCGCTTAATCTTAGTATATTTGTTGAACTATTTTCGAAATAAAGATTTCGAAAGGGTTATAACGTTATTTGTTACGATAAGGGATGCTTTCTGGTGTTTTGTGGAGAATATTTCAAGCTGATAAATTCGATGGATGCAAGAAAATTGTCTTGACCGAAACTATGATGTGTTGATTTCTCGTCGTCTATATTTTCAAGAGATTAATAAGAGGTGTATGGCAATAAGGTAAAGTGGTTTGAATTTTGAACAATAAATCGTTGAATTGAACGTACGATTTGCATAATTGTGCGAGGTTATAGGTCCAAAGTTTCATATACTGCATACATATTCATTTATATGTGTATAAAATTAAAACACCTCAAGTGGCAGAAACTTGATCTCAAATATTTGATCATGTTGGATAAAAAATATTTATTGTGTACATGCTTTATAGAGTATTGATTGACTGATAATAGCTCTACAAATGTACTTTATAAAGATAATAATAATATAATCTTTGGTTATATTTTTAGATCTAAGATCTAATGCAACTGGCAATTGCCTGACAGTGTATAGCTCTGTTTCCTAAGCATTGACAGGTACCAATGACCTATAAATTTGACCTATAATGTTTACAGTGCAAGTGTGAAAGGTCTATACAGTAGATCACTTTTTATAAGCGAAGAAGCACTATGGTTGAAGACTAATTAAATTAAATGACTTGGCTTGGTCATGATGCAAATTCACCAGGATATTATTCCTAACATACTGTAGGAAACTTTATTAATAAATTTTCTGGAACATGAGGTTAAAGTTAAATATATTGGCTTGCAAAAAGACCACTCTCGCCTCCAATAACAATAACCTCACTCTTGTACACAACACTGACATGAGAAAAAAACTTCCTGGGGCATGAGAAAAAACTTCCTTCATCATCAACCAAACTTAGCCTTTCAAGATCACCTCCTTAATTCCCATAATCTCCCCCCTCCCCAAACATCGGGCTTTGTAGACAAAAGCTCATGCCAAATATCGGTCTGATCTCATTGGCTTGAGACGGGTCCATTGCATCTTGAACCAGTTAAATTTTTCAACAGACCAGGGCTTGAAATAACAACTGATTACCAATCAATAATCAGCAAGAAATTGCTTATGATCAGTGGAAAAGCAGGGCTTTCAACCTGAAAAAGCAGAGAAAGTCATGACTGCCGATCACCATGATCAATCACCATGATCGGGAATTTTGGGAATGTTATTTCAGGCCCTGACAGACAAACACCATGTTGATAGTATGTGTCTATATACAGTATGTAAGCATAGTGTAATCATTTGTAATGAATCATTTGTATTTGAATCTACTGTGATTAAAATATGTTTAATTAAAATGCCAGGTAAAATAAACTTGTTTTCAATAAAAGTTGGCTTCCAATGAAGCTGCAGCTTTGAGGCACCATTTCACTTGTGATGTTATACATTTTCATAGTGGACAGTATATAACAAGATGATGAATTTAATTAGATTAGACATAGGTTAGTAATAGGGGGAAGGGGCTAAAGGAAAAACTGGGCAATTATTGTCACCCATTTTTAACCAAGCTCCTTTTACTATGGTGAAAGGTGTGAGGTGGGTTTATGGCACCTTAAAACCAGATTGCTCATTTTAGGTGGTTCTCATTGTCACCCATTTCTAAGTTCTAACCAAACTCCTTTTGCTCTTGCAAAAGGTGTGAAGGCAAGCAATCTAGTTTTAAGGTGCCAGAAACATTTGCTTGTGTTCAGCTTTTTCAAGGAGCTGTCCTTGTTGGATTATGGTTTACTATTTTTGGTAAATGTGTTTCCTGGGCATGCTGATGAACCAAGGTATACACTGTAGGGCAAAACAGTCTATATATAACTTTATCATATATATGCTGAACATTGGCAGGTACGAAAACTATGTCATTTGCGCATTTGTAGTTTGATAAAATAAAAGATCTATACTCCCACGAAAATTGGACTATCATCGTGACATCGAATGACGTCATGGCACATGACGTCATCACGTTTTGCGTCATCGATGACGTCATAGATTTTTGACTAACGT